ATCTCTGTAAGTATATTTTGAATAATCTAATCACTTACATATTAACATTACTATTGCAAAAGTCTATTTACCATGTCTATATAAATAATTATAATGTTTTTGATTTAGCATACAGACTTCATATTTTCAATTTTTCAAAGTCATAAGTTGGAACATGTTAACAGAATGGATAGTGAAAGTACTGAACAAAATATACATTACTTTCCAAAATATTTGACAAAYCAAAAATTATTGGAATTGCAATTAAGTGATGTAAATTTTAGGCGTTACATTCTTATACAATTTTTATTGCTTTTCCAGTATTTGGATGCTCCTGTTAAATTTAAACTGTTAGTTTGAAAATCATGAAAATTTAAGTAAATCTAACTATTTGTTAATTAATTTACAACTTTTRATTTTAGTGATAATTTCAAGATTAAACCAGAACAACAAGAATGGATAAAAAATTCTATTGCTACTATTTATGAACTAATTAATAATACACCACCTGATGGTGTCAGATTTTCTGAAGTAGTAAAGAATATATTACAGGTATAATGCTATCCACCTTATATCTGGTATTCTAATTTGCATAACTAAAAATTTATCATAATATATTTTCTATTAGAGAGAAGAACAATGGAATAAATGGAAAAATGATGGTTGTCCAGAAGTAACTAAAAGACTACCTACTAGTGATCAAAGTGATATGCCCGCACCCAAACGAAGACTTCGAAGAAATTTAGGGGATGTTATAAAGAATATGACTGCTAATAACAAAGTTTTTTTAGGAGAGTAAGTCATTATTACATWTTTTATTCAAATCRATGTGATGCTTAATGTTTCTGAATTTTATTTTATTTTAAGCCCTGAATTAACCAAGCTATGGAATTTTAAGCCAGATAATTTAGAAGCTTGTAAAGGACCAGAACGAGATTTTTTACCGTCATTTGATTCATTTTTCCAGGAAGCATTTGAGCAATTGGATCCAGAATTGTGTATTGAAAATCAATATAAGTAATTCAACAATTTATTAATTATATTGTATGGTACTATTTATATTTGTTCTAGTATCTTGTGCTCTAATCACTTTTCACTATTTGAGTAATAATCATTTTCTTAATTGTTGATTTTGCTTTAGAGGACACTACACTTGTATGACGTATKTGTTGTCTCTATCCTACAAGTACATAATATACCAACATTTACGCTCAGCAGATCACGTTTAAATCTGTTAGTCTAAAATTTAGAGTGAGTTGGCGTCTTATAAAAAATTAATGGTAACATTATTGTGGAAGGCTTCTCATAGGCTTTTAATTCTATTTTAATTTTAAACCGAGTTATGAGTATTTTAAGATATTCAAACAATTTACAATTTTAAAATACTCATAATTTGCTTTAAAMTTAAAATATAATTAAAATCCTATGAGAAGCCTTTCATAATAATGTTACCTTCAAATTTTATAAAAGGTCATTTCATTCTAAATTTTAAACTAATGGAGCTAAAACGTGATATGATGAGTGCAAAATTTGCTATGTTATGTACTTGTAAGACAGCAACAACACATACGGGTGTACCGTTCTCTTAACATTTGATTTATAGTTTATATTAAATCTATTTATTTTTGTTTTAGAAAAGTAAATGATGGCAACTTTGGATGGCGTGCACTAAGACTATTAGCTCGTAAAAGTCCACATTTTTTTGCTCAAAGCAATAATCCTATACATAAATTGTCTGAATACTTAGAAAATATGATTAAAAAAACAATGAGCAAAGAAAAAATAGTGAGTATAATACTTATGTKACATTTATTATTTAATACATACTTAATATTTTAATAATTAACACATTCACTGAGTATCATTTGAGTATACTTACCTTATCGCTAAAAKATTAGGGTTAAAAAAAACATAAAAATTGTAAAATTATTTTATCAGGGTATGAATTGCATGTGTTTTTGAAATAATTCATATAGAAGAGGTTAATAAATACTAAAAAGTTTCATTGTAACATTGACCTAATTTTAGTGCATTTAATAGCAATTCACATTACAGCAATTGGTGTCATTTAGCATATAATTGATGTCATAATTTTAAATATTTTTTTAGTCCATCAACCAAGGTTCAGATAAGCATGTGTCCCCAAATAATAAAGAATTTAAAAAAGAATCTGTAATTGAATCAGAAGAAGTTGATATTTCGGAAGGAATTCAAGATGAGAATGAAAACGAAAATAATATTGAATTAGAAGATAAAAATAAGATTCCTAAACAAATTATTGAACAAGTTGCAGCTGCGATAGGAGATAAATGGAATATCCTTGCTGAAAAACTTGGCTACCAACCAGATGAGGTAATTTGAWAAACATTTTTAATTTTATATGTGTGTGGGTGTGTATTATATGCTTTCTCAAAACTATTGAGGCTTAGCTTATTATTTATTTATTTTATTTTTATATTAATGTGCATGTGTGTCATAGATGTTGAGTATCATTCTATGTAATGTAATATAAAACTCAACACACACACACACACACACACACACACACACACACACACACGCAATTAAATGTGCTTCATAGCCATAAATGTTGTTTTCTTATAAAACAGTTGGTTAAACTAAAAATAATACATTATTTCTAATACTACTATGTTGTGTAATCTTAATAATGATTTTTTTTTAGATTGAGTTTGTGAAAACAATAAAAACAACACCTTTAGATCAAGCCACATATTTACTAGAAGTGTGGGTTGAAGATGCAGAAAATCCTAAGCCTGAAAACCTTATTTATATTTTAGAAGAAATTCAATTAATTGAAGCTGCTAATATCCTTAAATCCTAATATAGAATTTTATTGTATATTTACTACATTCAAAATAATTTTGTATTTAAAAGACTCATAAGAATAATTTGACTGTATTTATTTTTAAATCTATATTTCACAACAATAAATTAATAAAATAGTACTAAGTTTTATGCCCCAAATCAAAATTTTTACTGCAGGTGTAATTGTACAAGATGTTTTGAAGTACTATGAAAGAACCAAAATCAAAATTTCCAAGGTTTATTTTAGAGCTGGTGGTATTTCAAATTTCGATGCCTGTATAAGGTACTTACCAGAGGTTACCAGTTATACAATATTTTCATTGATTGATGAAAATACGGTACCTCGATAATTACCAAAAAAATATACCTAGGCAAATACTGGATCTTGGTGAATTTATATTATTAAAATAGTTGTTTTTGTACCGATTATTAAAATATTAGATTACAGATGACAACAATATTATAATATTTTAATGTTATGAAATTATGATCATATTAAAATAATCTCTAATAAATATAGGTATACCGTCATTTCAATAATTACTGTGATACAGTACTTTTGGTAACAATGGTAATTACTTAATTACGGTATAATGTTATTAAAAAGTTACTTATTTGATTAGGATTTAGGAGGGCGCCATGTAGCCATACGCGCAAGTTTACAAACAATTTTTATTTTTAAAATTCTCATAACTCAGCTTAATAAAAAAAACATATGTCATAGACTAGATAATTCTTTTTTTTACATTTTGTTAATTAGAAAATTAATTTTATTCAGGCAGAGACAATGCATGCRGGTATGACATGCTTTTCAAAAAATATAAATTTCAAACCTTTACTTGTATTTTAGTTTATATAGAAAAACTATATTGTAAAAAGCTTAAGGCTTTAGAGACAAACTATTTCTTTGGCAATATTTTATTTTTAACAATGGGTTGTTTTATAAATTTGTATATTACTATTCATCATAGTCGTGCGCAGACTTATATAACAGATGTGGTTACTATTTTTTTGACCACCCCCCTTTCCACTGTATCCTAAAACAGTCGTACAAAAATATTAAATAGTGCATATAGGTACGCAAACAGAAAATTATAATTAAATAATGAAATCCCGAGTTCTGGAATTTGATATCGTTTTCGTTATAATACTTRAATACTTCCAAATTCTAGCTCAATTAGGTGGAACACACTTGGGGGTTTTTTGGACCATATTTCGGAGCTTACCTAAAATATAAAACTTCAGGACCTTCAGGTGTCACTATAGCCTTAAAAGCACCAGGCCTCCGAGTAAATAAGACATGAATATATATTTATCTATGGTATTGAGTAATAAACTATAATATGTGAATCTATATATCTAAAATTATATAAACAAATTTTAGATT